CTTTCCTGCAAAGAGCTGGCCTGGATGTCATCTCTTTTCAGGTTCATCGTGGGTTGCCCAAGTTTAACTTAGCGGCCATAACTGCGTTGGTTGACAGGTATTAAATTAAATCATTGCCTCCATTCATGGCCATTTGTTCATGCGCTTGACTTTTTGACAAGTAATCTTGCTTTGTCTAAAATATAGGTGGCGGCCGAAGACTCACAGCTTCCACCTACCTTTCGGGGAGATGACAGTCACGCTCTAGGACTATCAGAAGATGCTAGGCCTAAGGATGCTAGTCGAAGGAAACTCTGTACCCTAGTTCGGTACATGTTCTCACATGCCATTTCATGTGTTTTATGTGTTGAATTATATAATGCCGTACGTCGTTAGGTTTTATTTGCAGCACGTGTTCACATTTCAATACGTCCGTAATATTAAGCGGAATATTAAGACCATAAATAATGAAAATAACCACATAATGAAAAGTTCAATACTATGCCACATTAAACAACATAATAATACTAGAAGTATGTGCCGACAGTAGACATAGGGGCAAATGCACTTTCAAATCCTCAGTCTGAAACATACTGAGTAAGCAACTCATCATCCGAGTACCAATCCTCTACCACAACTCTGTTGCTATGGCTAGGCTCACCTGCGTTGCTCTGATCTATCTGTCGCCTGTAGTAAGCAGCCTCTGCTTCATCTGCGGCCGCTGCGGCCTGAGTGAAGAATGTGTCGTCATCCTCCTCCACCTGTAAACCCGCCCTGTAAACCCGCCTCTACTAGACCGATGAGCTTGTTTAGTCTGCCAGTGTCTTCCTTAGCCTCCTCCACATGCAACCCCGCCTCTGATAGAGCGATGAGCTCGCTCAGTCTGCTAGTATCGTCCTCAGTCTTCTGCGCCGGCAAGCCCGCCTCTGCTAGAGCAATGAGCTCACTCAGTCTGCCAGTGTCGTCCTCATCCTCGTCCCCCCTCATCAGACAACACAATCGGTGATTGAACGGTGCGACCAACTCGCGACCTATGCTCATCTAACTTCTTTCCCTCATACCTTGCACGAGCCACCTCTACAACATGTTCCTCGTTGCAACCAATCCCTTCATGTATAAAATGCAACCAGTTAGCAATGCGATTATATTACATTTAAAATCAGACAATGAAAAAAGGCTTTCAAGCACTCACTGGCACATAATGCAACAATATGCTCGTTCAAGACCTGCATCTGTACTCTTATCTCCTCCCTTGCCTCATTCCTTGCCCTCTCCTCCTCTAACGTCATCCGTCTCTCCAATCCCCATTTATTAAGCCCAACATCGATCGGGTTACAAATACCGTGTTGTCTAGCAAACTCACGCATCTTTTCTTTGTGATGTTTAACGAATAGGTTGACGTAGTCAGGTCCATATCCCCTCTTCCGTGCAATTACTTGCCTCTTCTTCAGTTCATCCAAGAATTTAGCTTGACTATCATAACATTTCCACCTGCATTTCCTAGTGCTCTGTTCAAACTGAAAAATTATATCATATATGTTTTAGCAAAAGAAATAAAATACGATTTCATGTTTACCACAAAAATAATCAACCTCACCATACTCAACCATATGCCGCAATAATGGCCTATTCCAAGCTCCGAAGGGACTAGGCCATAGTTGAATTTAACACCACATTCGCACATGACAGGAGGTGTTTTATAAATTACCCTTTCTTTCTTTTTTTCCTTAACCTTTCGCGGTTCTTCCAGCCATTGGTTCTTAGGACCATACAACCACTCCTTGAATCAACACTTCGCCATTGAAAACACCTAAATAAGGAGACATTAGTACATGAACACATATAGCTCAAGATTTCAACACATACACTTTGCACTTACTTCATGCTTGTTTGGACACACAAACTCCAACGTATTCTCAGGGTTTATCACAGCTTGATCTCCACAATCACACAGAGGAGGTTCCTCGAGTCATCTAACTACGGCTAGGTGCTTCTCCTTAGCCGTCATTGGTGGAGGGTTAGGGGGGTGGAACCCACCGCTTGAAGTGCTCACGTGGATGTCTCCCTCTAAACCAATCGTCGAAAAGGAGGTACCTAGGATCAAACTTGTCTGCACTGTCGATCCACTGAAAGAAAAAGCACCTCTCATGGTCCTACACAACGAGATTCGAACAAAATATTAGTAGCATACTTACACAAATAAAGAAAAAGGATAGTGGAAACAATTTCTTACATTAAAACGACTGCATGTGTAGAAGCATCGTGCCGCTGTGTCCGGATGTTTCTATTGAAAAACATGGGCGGAAACCACAATCACAGTTAGGGACAGAGGGGTCAGGAGGGACAGGGGCATCTTTGCTAGACACATCGGGGTATAATTCTTGAGGACGACCCCGTTTTCGCCAAAACTCCTCCTGAAACATTTCTTGCGTCTAACAAAACAGATGTAATTTAACAAACATAAATCAAAACATCACAAATAAATATCAATGAGAACCATAACTACAATATAACCAATTTCGTTCTAAGAACCAAAAGCAATTAATATTAAACCCTAAACCTAGGGTTTCCCATTTGATGCACAACAATGAACCCATAACATAACTACATGCGCCTAGGTTTGTTAGCTTTTTTCACGCCTTGGCATCATCCTACGGTTGTATAATACATATATTGAGGGATAGAATGAAACCATAAGTAATGACGATTCTTAGATTCAAAAATCCGACTAATATATACCGAATCGATACGAAAAAAACTATGAGGGGAGCGAGAATACCTTGCTCTCGAAGATCTACGGATCAAATTAAAGTTTTCAAGGTCCAATATGCTGATTCATGAGGTAGGATGAAGTGGGGAGAGAAAAAACCTAAGAGGGGGGGAGAAAGAAGAGGAAGAACGCTCGGGCAGGAAGGTTGAGGCGGGGTTAAAACATAAGCTCGGCGCCAGTCACCCTGGCGGTGAGCTTCCTGCCATGTCACCTTCCACGTCCGCTTCGAGCCCAGGAGCTCGGCGCCGAGACGTGTTAGCTCGGCGCCAGTATCGATGGCGCCGAGTTAAGGGTCCAGATTCTGAAATCTTTTCTCCAGGGGTCTATTTGTGAAAAACTTTCAAAAAACTGGCTAAAAAGTTAAAAATTCGGACAGCCAGCCAGCGACGGCCGTGGCCACGTCATGAAGGAGCAGAATGACCGGAAAATGTTTCTCGGCACGACCACGAGCGCGCGGACTTTTCCACGTGTGGGGCTCGTTTTTTACGAGTGCTAAAAGATTAAGAGCTGGATTTGAGAGTTGTTGAAGATGTGTTTTTTCAATTTTGCCAAAATCATGGGATCGATTGAGAGTTTTGGAAACTTTTGGTGATGCTCTAATAGTTTATAGGAAAAAAATTACGGAAAAAAGAAGCCTGGACCATTACAAAAGATGGCATGGAAACGTGATGCGGCTACGTACGCAAGCAGAGGTTAGGATACGACATACGAACGCCTGGGTCAAAGCCGCGGTCAGAGCACACGAGGATTTCGTTTTTGAACGTCCAATGGTCGATGTGTGGCGTCACTGCCGTGCTGCCCCGGCTCGTCGACTACTGAGTTCTCTGACCCGTTGCCGGACCGTTGGGTCTACATTGTTGAGCAGGGAGTCCAACTTCCTAGAGTGCCACAAGTCCTGATTGACGTGACGACGCATTGTGGAATGTGGAGTTCCGTATGGTGTTTCATTTCAAATCCGTACGCCTATTTGACTGGGGCTGAAACTTTCGTATACGATCGTAGATTATTATTACTGAATGATTTGGTATGAAAAAAAATACTATTCTAACTAAAATTTACGATCGTTTACGACCAAGCGAACAGCCCGTACACAGACGCTGCTCCCTCCATCCCAAACTAATCGGATGTTTACAATTCAAATTTTGTTTCAAAATAAATGGCACACGATTCTATGTGCAGCAGCAGACAGCAGAGCCAGAGCACAATACACACTTGCCAGGCTGAACCAAATTAAATAAAAAAGAGAAAACCAACTGCAGTCTCTCCTCTACTCCTTCTCTACTCCCATCTTCATGCAGTCACACTAAGACTCCGTCCACACACCTATGGGGGTAGTATGATCATTTTACCATACATCTTGGTTTCGGGCCTGTTCCTAGATTGCTAGCTTATTTTGGGAGGGGGAGTATACAGTAGTACTTGTGTCATTAGGTTGCATGTAGCACATACAGAGGAGTACTCTCCTCGTCGAAAAAATATAATTCTTGCTTTTTTAAAGTAGATAATTTTGAGATTGAAATCAAAACAAAAAGTACTAATAATATTTATATATATAAATAAGTATTATTACATTAATTACGAAAATATTTTATAGTAAAAGAATTTGATTGATTCAAAATATAAATTGCATTTTTTGGATATACTCCCTCCGTTCCCAAATAGATGACATTTCTTTTTTTTTTCACGATACATCTCTACCTCTACTCTTAAGGGGTATTTTAGTCTTTTGCTTTCTACTGTCTCTGTGAGAGATTTTAAAACGTCATGTAATACGTGACGGAGAAAGTAGAGAGGATTATTCATCTATTTTTTTAAAAAAGTGTATGATGTGATGTTTGAGAATATATGCAAATATGACCTTTAAAAAATAACAAAAAAATGTATGCAAATACAAATTAAGGTCATGTATGCACCTGAAACAAGGCACGTATACAAGAGACCAGTTTCGTGCACTACTAGTTGCTCCCTATATACTCCTACAACTTTTACCAGCTATTGTTGTCAAAAAAAAAAAACTTTCACCAGCTATTACATGCACTACGCAAACCTTAGTAATAATTTGCATATAAAGAACAAAAGAAACCCGTCGAATTAATTACTAGTCCAGCGTAGTCCTGTCCAGCATGCATGCAAGAGCCGATAATCGACATGATTTATTGACCTCTGGCTCTGATCTCTCTCTGAAACCAGCACAGTGATCATCGGGCCGCGGCATGTCGTCACTCCCGGCGGCGTACGGCACGGCATACACCTAGTGGCCGACGCCGGGGCTCGGGCCGGAGTCCTTGATCCCGCCGAGCATGTCGACGTTCATCAACCTGTGGCCTGCAGCACCGCCGTCTTGCTCCGCGGTCCCGACCACCACCGTCTGGATGATGTAACCCACCGGCGGCGACTCCACCGTATGCTGCGGACCACCTCCCTCTGACGACACCTTCAGCGGCCTGCTGGCATTCCCGATGGTCGCCGCGAGCAGCAGGCACGTCGCGAGGAGCAGGCCAACGACGACGGCCGGTGCCGCCCGCGCCCTGATGTTGTGCTTGGTGGCCGCCATTCTTGCCGTCGACAGATCGATCAGACGAGGAACGCTACTCTCTGTCGTCTCTGTGCGCTGCACTTTGACACTGCTAGCACACACACGTGCGTGTTTTTGTTGCCAGTGCAGACGACGACTGTGCCTGGTTTAATTTGCACCCGAGCCGTGGCGTTCTGGGGTTTATATAGCCAGCGCCAGCCCCGTAGGCCGTAGCTTGGCATTGACCGAACGGCGGCCGGTCACCGGTGGCGTCTTAATTTGGAATTTGGAAATCGGCAGCAGGCCAGGAGCCCGGCCGGGCCGGTGATCTGATGACCGCCAGAGGAGGGAGCTAGGAAGCGTCGTGGAAACGACACGGCCGGGGGCGTGCGTGTACGTACGATGTCGCCGTGCACGCACAAGCTCTTCTTCCGGCCAGGTGCGCCGCGCGGTTGGAAGTTCAGGCGTGGAAGTTAGAACCGCGAGAAATTCCGCGGTCCCGAGTGTGGACTTTGAAAATGCACCCGGCCGGGGCGCGGACGTGACATACTGCAGAGAGAGAGAGAGGTCGACGACGACGAGCCAGACCGACGCACAACTCGCTCAGTTTGGTTAGTGGCGTGGACTGCTGGGCCTCCGGCCGGCCTCCCTGCACTTGTGCAAATTCCGGGTATAGATCTGAAGATTGGCTACAGGGTAGTAGAGATCGGTCTACGTAGAGAGGTACTCCCTCCATCCCAAATTGTAAGTCATTCCAAGAATATTGGAGAGTCAAAGTTTTTCAAGTTTGACCAAATTTATATAACAAAATAATAATATTTATCATACAAAGTAAGTATCATTAGATTCTTCATTAGTTATATTTTTATATTATACCTATTTGATGTCATCAATCTTTGTGTTTCTCTCTATAATTTTAGTCAAACTTAAAAAAGTTTGACTCTCCAAGATTTTTGGAATGACTTATAATTTGGGATGGAGGGAGTAAGCTGGACGGATGCAGATGATGATGCGTAGATCGTAGATTGTAGGTGGCGAGTGAGAGCGACTGAAAAGCCCATATGCGCGCGAAGTCAGCGCCAGAGCGCGGGAACCAGTGGAGAAGCTACGTCCGGACCCCCCGGGCGGATGCTGACGTGACGCGTGTGGTTGCGGCCGAGACCGACCGAGCCATTTCTGACTCGTCGGCTGCTGGTCCGCGTCACTATAGCTCACCAGACACAATGCCTCAGCATTCCATTTATCAAAGACATCTACACGGCCGACACCCGGTTGTTGGTCTCTTCCTCCTCCATATCTAAACCCCATCCAGTACTTACTCCCTCCTTATACTGAATTCACTATTGGAAACCGGCATTTTGCCGAGTGCCGGAAGCTTTGCCGAGTGTATTTTATCGGGCACTCGGCAAAGACGGCTTTGCCGAGTGTTTTTTTCGGCACTCAGCAAAGATGGCTTTGCCGAGTGTTTTTTTTTCGGCGCTCGGCAAAGATGTATTTTGCCGAGTGCCTTTTTCTGGCACTCGGCAAAGAGGCATTTTGCCGTGTGCATTTTTTTGCCCTCGGCAAATCATTTTTTCAAAGCAATTTTTGAGGCCCTAAATGAATTCAAATGAAAAACTTTTCAACTACAAATTTGTATAACTTCTTAAGATCTACAAAGTTTATTTTGGTCATTTCTTCATTTGACAAAGCGACAATAACGTTGTTCATAAAATCTACACCTCTCTCATATCTCTCATATTAGTTTCAAGAAAGTCGAAGAGAGATATATAAGATTTGTAAATAATGTTACTACCACTATGTCGGATGACCAAATGACCAAAATAAACTTTGTAGATCTTGAGATGTTATGAAATTTTGTAGTTGGCAACATTTTGATTTGAAATAATCTTGTCATGCAAAAATGACGTTTGAATTTGAAAATTTTAAAATTTGAATTTTTTCAAAAGACCTCGGATGGAAAAACTTCCTAAATGAAAATTGTAGATCTCCAAAAGTTATGAAACTATGTAGTTGACAACTTTTTGATTTGAAATCATCTTATCATGCAAAACTACGTTTGAATCTCTCAAATTTGAAATTCGAATTTTTCAAATGACATCGGATGGAAAAACTTTCTAAATGAAAATTGTAGATCTCGAAAAGTTATGAAACTTTGTAGTTGACCACTTTTTAATTTGAATTCGTTTAGGGCCTCAAACAAGCAATTTACTCTCGATTTAGTATAATATATGAGGATAGATAACGGAATCTAGACACAAGTGAATTGTGTAGTGCAGTGGTAGAGCAGCAGACACACGAGGGAGGGGTCGTGAGTTTGAATCCCGCCGGCCGTGAATTTTGCTAAAAAAAATACATTGGCGCAGGACGGACGGATGCTGGCCGATGGCGCCCTTCCCCAAGAATTTTTTTTTTGCTATTATTTTTAGGTTTTTTCGCATTTTCATTTTGTCGAGTGTAAATCTTTTCCGGGTGCTTTTCCGCCACTCGGCAAAGGTTTCGCCGAGTGCCCGACAAAAAGCACTCGACAAAGACTTCTTTGCCGAGTGCCCTTTGCTGAGTGCGGCACTCGGCAAAGCCTTTGCCGAGTGTATTTCGGGCTTTGCCGAGTGCCGCAGGCACTCGGCAAAGTGCGGATTCCAGTAGTGATTATAACAAGTTTTGACATTTCTAGATACGTCCTTTTACTACGTATTTAGATATAGTATACATACCACGTCTTATAATTTAGGATGGAGGGAGTATTTAATCAGGGGCTCCTTCTCCAACACACGAATCAGACAAGGACGGCCATGTGGCAAAGTGCACTTGTGATACATTTTGCGGCGGAAACGATGATGCTATTGCTACTCTAGAAAGGTCGATCCACACATCATGTTAAATTCTTTATGGGTTTGTTTGGCAGAAATTGTATTCACATAAATCCACGTGTATTGGGACGGAATTTTGTTAATTTCCCATCCCAATCCATCCTAATATATTTGGATTAACAAGAGCTTTTGGGGTTGGGGAGTTCCCAAAAGAGTTTGTTATTCACGTGATCTTCGTGGGCTCAGAATGAAGAAGGGCTGCTCAATCTCGGTGCAATTGTAATGTTAAATTGATGCATGCACCAGGAAGTACACTACGGCAATACTGTCTAATGTGTTTGGGTCAAGCTAACCGGCTTTCCCGCTAACTGCAAGACCTTTCAGCATTTGCCATATACGTACTGATGGAACATCATATCTACGGCTGTGGATAAAAGGACCGATGAACACTCGACACTTGGCTAGCTAGCGTCAACAATGAGATCATTGGAATTAGCTTGCATGCACTACCCTAGATTTGGACATCACTGCCGGCCTCATCATTGCCGGATTTGTGACAACCGGTAGTGATGTACCTTCACCGTCGGTTATGAGCTTGAAAATAAAAAAATGATTGGGGCTGGGCTAAAACCGGCAGTGAAGGACCACATCACTGTCGGTTTGTGGCTTGAACCGGAAGTGTTTTGGCGGCCACTCATCACTGCCGGTTTAAGCCAAGAGCCGACAGTGATTTGGATCTATCATTGTCGGTTTTAGCTAACAATCGACGGTAATAAGCCTATAGCACAAAAAGGCTGCAGCCGTCCTCTTCTTTCTCCTCTCTTCCATCCTAAGAACAGAGGCGCGCGTTTGTGTCATTTCCTCCATTGTTGCGTCTGCTCTTCACCATGAAGCTAGGGCTTGGATTTTGAAGAATGACTTGATCTTTTTGCTTTAAGGTTAGTAACAAACATCCACTCCTTTGATTTTGTTGCTTAATTAGCTTCGTTTTGATGGCTACATCGCTTGATTCTCATTCTAGTTCTTTTTCCATTCTAGAGAGCACTTTTCCAATTGAACATTTGTGCAAGGCTTAAATTGTGGTGAATCCATCATCCAAAAGGTTGTCTATGAACATATTTAAATTCCTAGCTAATTATTCCATAGTGGTCAAGATCATCATTGTTAGTATGTGATGCTATAATTAGTTCTTAGAAGTAGAGTAGAATAGATGTTCTTCATTATTGTGCAATAATTGTTTTTACTACGATTTTCAATTTACAGGGCTGGGCTACCAATTTGAATTTTTTCAATAATTAGTGTATAATAATGTTTTCCAAAAATAGTACTTTCGAGCTACAATTGTTGTTCATGAAGCTCGATTTCTTATTAATTCTTTATAATTACTGTCTCAGTATTTTTTTTGTGCAGAGATGGATCGAGAGTGGATGCATCTGTCTCCGAACGGACAAGCGATACATGCATGGCGTCAGCCAGTTTATCATCGATGCCAAAGCCCATGCTGGGAATGGGAACCCTATCTTCTACCCATGTAAAGATTGCAAGAATCAAATGAACTTTCATCAAATTGAGTCTATACGATCGCACTTGATTACCAGGGGTTCATGCCAATGGCGAGGTTGGTGTGAATGTTTTGCAAGAAAACGATGATGGTGTGGACACGCTTGACGTAGCCATCCATGATGCTGACGAGGAACCCGGTGTCAACACGGAACCTATGGCCACAGTTAATAATGTGTTTAGAAACACGCTAGCTGACGACACTGAGGATAACGATGGCATTTCACAGGTGCTACATAATGTAGAGACCGGATGTCTTAGTGAAAGACAGCTGAGAAAGCTAGAGAAAATGAGACAAGATGGCAAAACATCATTCTATAGGAATTGTCCAATGAGCAAACTAGAAGCCGACATCATGCTGTTAGAGTTCAAATCGACAAACGGATTGAGCGATAAAGGCTTCGATCAGTTGTTAGGTATAATAAGGAAAATGCTCCAGAAAAAATGAGTTGCCAGAAAAGACATACTTGGCGAAGCAAATGATCTGCCCCATCAGCCTCGAGGTTGAAAAAATCCATGCATGTTTCAATGATTGCATATTGTACCGTGGAGAAAAATACAAAGACTAGGACAAGTGCCCCAAGTGTGAAGCTCCACGGTACATGGAAGGGCCATCAGATGAGATACAATGATGAGGCACCCCGCCGATGGGTATGACTGGAGGATTGT